ACGCACCGGATTTTCTTCATCTTAACACAAGCACAATCTTTGGCACACGGCTCTGTGAAGATGTAAAGCATCATATAATTAGCTGTTCCATAGATGCTGGTCAGAGAGAGAGAGAGGGAGAGAGAGACAGACAGACAGTCCAGTGGGTCTGGTCTCCCGACTTCCCCATCCCCTCATGTTACAGCTTCCTGTATTGATTGTTAGGTCTGATGATGACGATCATTGGCCAGACCAATGAAAAGGAGGGTTATTTCTATCCAGGATGTTGGAGTGGCTATTGATCGCTGGCTCCTTCCTACACACGATAACATGCTCGCACACGCACACCATTTTTGTTTTTTGCGAGTTCTCCACATAGACATTCAATCTACACTCACAATTCACAGGACAGTACAGAAGTATTTGTTTCATATAAAAGGAAGTGTGTACAGCGGATGTAAAATGTCTGCACACCTCAGTGGTGAAATGTCACTGTGAAAGTACCGCACCGTGAAATTTAATGACAGAACTTTTTACAAGCAGAGTAATAAGACCAGTAAATACTGCAAATAGTGAGCACTATGCACTTATCGGGGCAGTGGTGGCTTAGTGGTAGGTTCCGAAGGTTGCAGGTTAAAATCCCCCAGCTGCCAAGTTACCACTGAGGTGCTCTGAGCATGGCACCGTCCCCACACACTGCTCCCCGGGTGGTCAAAAAAAAAGAGCTGCCCACTGTTCACTTTAGTGATGGGTTAAATGCAGAGGTCACATTTTGTTGTGTGCAGTGATGTGCGTCACAATGTCACAATGACTAGGAGTTCACTTTCCTTCCTTCCTATACAACATATTGGTTAACATTACACAAATGGATCCATATTTTGTTTTTGTTTTTTTTAAAGATTTAAGTTGGGGTGTTTTTTAGATTTTCTTAGAGTAAAGAAAAGGAACATCAAGTATCAAAAATTCATTAAAAGTGTAACATTTAACTAATTTTATTATTTTGATAATTAATTAGTGACTTAATGTAGTGGTCCTTTATCTAGTGGTAAGAGAGTTAGTCTTCCAAGTGAAGAATCGCGGGTTTAAATGTTGTCTCTTGTCATTTATTATCATTATTTAATTTACTTAATTTGGGTGTTATGACTTCCTGTTACCATTTTTTGAGGCATATACAGAATATTTAAATCATAAAAAGCCATATCTTTGATTATAGACTTTTCTTGGATCCGTTTCTTTCGTTTTAGAACGTGTCATTTAGCTTTGTTGCCTCGTAGAGTAAAATCAGACACCTGGTGTGGTCCCCCTCTCAGGCAGGGGTTGATGATTGCATCGCTGGCCCCCGTATTTCTGCCACTGACCTGCGGGGCTCCTGATCAAATGAGGTTTTTGTGCCTGTGCTCCCCAAGAGTCCGCTGATCAGGAGTCGCTCCTCCACTGGAGCTGAACAGAATGTGCTGCAGGCATTTCCCTGAAACCTCCCCCACCTTCTCCTCCTCCTCCCCAGGCCACTCCTCCATTTTGATCTCCTTCCTCACTCTACCTCCCTCTCTGCCCTCGCTGGCGTTCCCTCTTTCCTGCTCCTGGTCCGTGCCCTTTCCTGACCTCCTGATGTGGAGTCAGTCAGGTCAGGACACCCGGAGGAGGGGTTTCAAAGTGCAGGTTTTTTTATTCGTTCATTTTTTATTTTTTTTTTGGGTAGGTTATTTTGTTTCATGGCACAGATTGACACATATTACCCTTCCCCCTCCCTCCTCCTCCTGCCGCTCTGACACACATACACATGTTAATCTGCCCACTTCCTACTCTTACATAATTTTGGTGACTGAGCTGCTGTTAGCCAAGACAGCTTTCAATTTTTTCCAACCTTAAAAAAATCTTATTTTTTAAGGAAATAGAAATCTTTCAATTTTTTCCAACCTGGGGGAAAATCTTATTTTTTAAGGAAATAGAAATAAAAAGCAATGAAACAGAAAAGAACAGGAGTAAAAAAAATTTTGTGTTGTTGATTAGTGAATTGGAAAACAACCCCTGCAAGATGTAAGATTCCCCCTAGTGCGTCAACGATAGTAACCAGGTGATCTGACATACCTTTTTTTTCATACGATTTTTTTTTTTTTTTCACAATTTGAATAAAAACATTTCTCATGCATGTTTTTTTTCTTCTATTCATATTGAATGGGGCTGCGAGCCAGGTGCATTGTGGGGGAAAAAGTGGGTGGCGGCGTGGTTGACAGGAGACGGGATAATGCAACATGCTGCTCAACTTTGACCCGAAGAAGGAAGCCGGCTGTAGACTGGACATGAAGAGGAAGAGGAAGAGTTTGTTCTACACCCAGCGCTCATTAACGTGTGGTGTTTTGTGTAAAACACAAGTGGATGTAGTTTATATCCTGTGATGCTGCAGGGAAGAGGTTAACTCCATAACACAGTGAATCACTGTGGCACATTAATTATCCAGTTTCACTTCGTCTTTGTTCGTGTCTTTTTTTTACACTGTAGTTGTGTTCATCTAACTGGCTGAAGACGGTCCCAAAATGAATACCTAAATGAAAAAGAAACCTTGCTGGTGGCTTATAATAAAAGCCATAAAATAGTTTAAAATGGGAAATGTTGGTCTAAGAGGACCTTATTTATTATAAAATGTCCTCGTTGGTTTTTAACAAATGTGTAAAAAGAAACCATTTAAAAGCGGTTCAAAGCTGAATGTTTTAGCCTTGGATTTGATCCTTTTGTCATTTCAGTTGAGATTTTTTTTTAATGTTATTTTATAGGAAATATTTTATCATCGTCTTCAGAATGCTTTGTATTTTGCAAGCGTTTAACAAAAACAAACATGGATTTATAATAATGTGGCTTTCTAACCCCAACCCCTGCTGCAGTGTTCAGTGGTAATGAACATCGGCGCTGCTGCAGGTTCACACTCACTATTCTGAGTTTGTCATTAATTCACATGAGCGTGGCCACTGATTCATCCCTCACTGTTTAATGGCAGCGTCCCCTGTAATGCATGTTCATTTACATCTATAAATGGACCACCTATAGACCCCTGTGGCTTCACGGAACTGCAGTCGTTGAAGGGGGAAACAAAACCAAAAAAAAAAAAAAAAACGCTGCCGACGCCGTTTTTTCGCTCCTTCCTCTGGTTTCACATCTGATTCCCTCAGATCGTTTGTTCCTCTCTCTTCCTGCCTCTCACACATGTGCCTGTGCAGCAGATACTGCGTGTACAGATGGCCTTTGAGTGTGCATACGTGTGCATGTGTGTGTTATTTATAGAGCTGGATGTAAAGGTAGTATGTAGGTTTTTGCTCTGCTGGCAGTGCGCCGGTGTGGGTGTGTGTTCACCACCGCTGAGAATCCTGAAGGTCGCGGTGAACGCGGTGTAGGGCACATGAACCCGTCGTCCAGGGACTCTAGGTCACGCCGATGATAATTTTGCGTGATGTTGATGAAGCAGGACTTTACACAGGCTGACAAAAAATATGCCTTGATGCTGATGCATGCTGGTCTTTTTCTTCTCTGCAGAGAGAAAGTAGGAAGTGGTGGCGTCTCTGTGGAAAGTAGATAAAGGACACACTGTACACATGCCGCCATGGCAGTTAGAGCAAACCGCATTCAGTGGATCCATGGGGTTGGAGCTGGTGTGTGTTTCTGTGCTAGTGTGGTGCAGCAGCAGCAGCAGCAGCATCATCAGCAGCAGCATCAGTCAACCCTCTCACTCTCTCTCTCTCTCTGAAAGTGTTAAACTGTGTTTCTTCTCCTGTAGCGCCTGTTCACAGACGTGCTGTTGATGGAACAGTTAGCAAACGTCCTCTGTTGATTTGGACTTAGATAATGTCAATGCTGAGGTTGATTCAGCCCAGAAAACGACTCACTCTGTGTTGGCTTTGTTTTCTTCTCGAAGCTGAAAACACCAAATAGACCAAGTCAAGGTAAAACACACCGCTGTGGATTAAAAGCTTCAGAAAAACGAACACCGTGTTAATGGGTTGATGAATAAATCGGCTCTAATTCAGATTGAATACACTCCAAGGACATGTGGATGTGTCTGATCACATCGCATTCTTACAGGCTGAACTGGACTTTATAATTCTGTATTTATATATTTATAAATTATATTAGTTTTATGTTATAATACTCTAGAGGAGTCTAGACTTTTATTTTGACCAGAGGTGGAAGCTAGAATGTCAAAATACCTTTCAGATACTAGAAAGAACTCACCCCGAAACACACAAATGGACTGAGGTTTGTAGCTTTAAAAAAATAAAAAAGTACATTGAGGAATTAACAGTGAACAACGCCTGTCATAGGAGTTTCAGACAGATGACGGTAACAGTTACAGAGAGGCTCAATTTGTATCTCACAAAACTATAGATGACAATAATTTGGAGAAAAAACTAAAACCAAAACAAGCCCATCTAATATACAAACAGTCTATACAGATATATACACATACATCCACTGTGCATAACTGCACCCAAGAAATGAAAAGTAAATGAGAGAAGATTCTCTTTTTGTTTAAAATCCGAGGTGTAAGGCGGCACAATTCCATCTCAAAAAAGTCTGTTGTGAGTTGAAGGTCGTCATTTGTTCCATGATTGAACTCTCTTTAACTTTCTGGTCTTTTGTGTTCTTCCGTTCAGTCGTTATCGTCCTAGCAGTTAGCTGAAGAATTTGCAAACTATATCTTTGATCGTCAAATCTCTCCTAACAAAAACCCACAGGAGCTAAAGGAGCGTTTCTTCTCAGTAGAGAATCAATTTTGTCTTTTACACATTCCCAGAAATCTTATTTAATCACTGGACAGTCCCAAAAATATGAGTGGCCTCAGACTTTCCCACATTTTCTCCAGCGTAGCTCCATGACATAGAAGAAATAGTTGAGGGTGTAGTGAAGTGTGTCACCTTTACTTTTACAGTTTCTTTATTGATTTATCTCTGGTTTCAGATATAAATCATAAGAAAATAACATCTATCTATAACATAATCCAGAAGTGACACTGACGTTGTTTTCCCCAATAGAGCAAACTGGTGATGGAGGGCTTCCGCAGCCTAAAGGAGGGCGAGCCGGTGGAGTTCACGTACAAGAAGTCCTCCAAGGGCCTGGAGTCCCTGAGGGTAACAGGGCCTGGTGGGGGACCCTGCTACGGCAGTGAGAGGCGACCCAAGGGGAAGGTCCCACTCCAGAAACGCAAACCAAAGGGAGACCGGTGAGTGGAGTCACAGTGTTTTTATTTTTTTCTTACTTATTTCTGTGTAGGTTGTCAGCCATCCAGGTCATAGTGTTGTTAATGTTTCTGTCTGTTTGTCTGTCTGTCTAATGAGCAAGTTGGAACTTTTACTGGTTGGTGAAATAACTCATATTAAACACAGGCACGTTTTTTGGCCATAAACGTTACACGTTTGACCAAATGTGTAACTGGCCAATGACAGGTGTCATCGATCACTGATTGGATATACATATTTAACTGCTATACTTTGCAACATCCACCTTTTATGATTTTAGTTAGCTTATTATTCTCACAGTGTGGGCTAAAGGCTAATCAAATAAATGACACAATAAATGTCACTTTACTGGAAGTGACATTTATATATATATATATATATATCTATATATATATATATACATACACACAGAGAGAGAGAGAGAGAGAGTGCGATGCATTCACCTCTCAGAGCAGACACACATGGGACTGCAGCGAGGCGTCTGGGAGTGAGCTGAGATTATAGATTAAATCTATTCAGTGTGCCCCACTACATGGCTGTTGCTATGGTTATTGTGCACCATAATAAGGTATTGAATGGAGCACTTTGCCCGCCTATGGCAGCTATTTGAAATCAATTTGCAAGCCTTTACATTACAGGCGGCTGTGGCGGAGGCACGGATCGCAGCGTTAATATGCATCTCAATGCGGCAGTGGCCGGATCAATTGTGTTGAAAAAAAATCCTAACAGGGCGCGTTGGTAAAATATGTGTAAGAGCACGGCCGTACGGAGCTGTGTGAATGTGTACGCCAGCCCTAGCAGAGGATGCAGCTTTTCAGAAAGCTGCATCCTTTGTTGAGTGTATAGGCATGAAGAGCAGAGGATGTGGTGTTAGCAGGGTTCCACAGAAAGGCAGCGTGTGATTCCAAGGCTTCCACAGCACAAAATAATGATTTCCCCAAGTGCCTTTAGGAATAATAAAAACCATAGGCACAGTGAAAAACAAAAGCTTCATATAGGAAGCCGAGGATAAGTGAATTGCACACAGTACAGCAAGGTCAGAGCTACTGTATGAGCGCCCACTGGAGAGACACTTTCACCTGACGTAGTTCTCACCAGGTCTTCAAAGTATGTAAGATGACCAAAGGTGGGGGCGGGCCCTTGTTCAAAGGCTGTAAAATGTCACAAAAAAAAAGAAGAATGAGTTAAATGAGAGAGTTTCTTTCAGACCACATTTAGCCGTGTTCAATAATATTTTACTTATATATATATATACATACATAAACATTTCTTTACTCTGAAATATTTTGTATGTTTGCATTTTTGTCTAATTTACTGATTCCACCAAGTTAAGGTTAAACCTGCTTACTTTTCACATTTACACTTGGCACTGCACTGTATCTACTTGCATTTTTGACTACATCTTATCCTATTATATTTGTGGTACTTTAAAAAAAAAATCTACTTCCTACACTTGCTCTCTGTTAAAATGCTCCTGCAGGAGCAGCTGTAAAACTGATATTTTCCACTTGAATTATTTCTGATTCTGATGGAAAAAAAGCTTTTGTTTTTTTCAACTGTTGCTGTCACAGACCTGTGTCAGCTGCCGGGTTGTTTTGTTTTTCTGAGGGTGTGAAAAGAAAAGCTTTGTTCAGAAGCAGGGAAACAGTATCTGAGGGCAAAGACTCCTGATTGTTTTACACAGCTGAATAATTCAGTTTATTTGGGATAATTGATCCAGACTGAGGTCAAGTGTCGTCACCCTGCGGCTGCAGCCGCGGAGACAGATTGGATTTATTCACAGCAGGTAGATGTCTGTGATGTCATCCGCCTCTGTGGCTCAGTGTGAGAGGCTAATGTAGCACGTCGGCTGTTCTAACACCTGCTGGTTACTGAGTTGTTGATCAAACAGGCTTCGTTCACACCTGCAACTGAGATTATTGAGCTCATTCCCTGTGTTATAGTTATAGTTATAGTTATATTTTTTTAGAAAAGAGTCAAAACGTGTTGTATTTTTATTTATAGGTCAAATCAGTTGTTGATTTTAGCAGTTCAGCAGCAGAGATAAGCAGCATTATTTTTTATTGTGTTTTACTTTCATTTAGTTGAGAGCTAATGTTCTTCAAAAGGCTTTAATTAAAAAAGTTTTTGAAATTGAAGTAGTTACTCTAAATTAGTTTTAAAATATATGATTTTTTACATTAATTTAATTTTTTTTGCATAACCATCTTTAAAATTTAATACAAAAACTGTTTTAAATTACTTTAATGTTAAAATTTTGACTCCCCATTTTTACATTTAACTTTCCAAAAAATTGAATTTTAACTTAAATGTAGGAAAATTACTTGTTAATTAAGGGAATTATAGGTGCAAATAAATAATAGACCTCTTGGAATTATATTTATATTATTGTTTAATTTATATAATTATGCAAATTAAAATATTAACAAATATAAGCATAATTATTTTAAAAAGAATAAAGTCCTGCATATAACATTCAGATTTTGAATGTTTATATCAAATATTTATTCAAAAGTCTCATTAAAATATACTTTATCCATATAAGTTATAATTTCCCCAAATGGATCAGAAATCAAACATGTATTTTCATGGGCCATGAAACTTATTCATGTATTTCATAAAATATTTGAAATTTAAATTAGATCCTTTTTTAATCTGTGGAGTTTCTAAATATTTACTGCATTAAATCAGAGGTGTTTGAAATAATGTCACAGCTACATTTAAAGCATATTTAAAAGTTGTGAATTGAACATGTATTTTTTATTAATATCAAAAACAACACAACAATAAATTAACAATTTATTTTTTATTTACTACATATTATTATAATTTTTTATAAATTGTATAACTGAATGCTATTCAGGGTTGTTTGGTTTCTTCCACTTTTCTTTCTAGCAAGTCTTTAAAACTGCAAATATTTTCTGTAGAATTTTGTATTTATTTTTCTTAACTTCACTGTATGTTTTTCTTTTATTTATATATTAACGGTAATTGAAAGTGTAGAATTACTGTAATTCATGTTTCTTATTTAAGAAACTAAAATAAGTTCAGTGATGTGTTTTTGTTTTGTTATTTAGCTTCAACAATTAGCTAGCATTTAGCATGTGTTTATTCTGATTCTTAACAGGCTGTTTCCCCTTCAAACGGTTATTTGTTACCAACGTTGACTATTAATAACAAAAAGCATTAAAAAAAAACCCTAATATCTACGTGGTCTGGATTATAGTTCGCGGTGTGAAACACCCACTGAAAGGATGTTCTGTTAGAAAGAGCGATGACGTCACGGCAGGCTGAAACCCTTTGCACTTTTCACCGCTACACTTTCATCGCTCTTGTGGTTCATGTCAAATGTAATGACGTGCTGCAGTTTGCCATGCCGCAGAGACGCCGTCCACCATAGCAGGCCTTGTCTCACACTGACATCTAGCGGTCGCTTTCCGTTACAGCAGGTGTTGACGGTTGACTTTTTTTTTTTTTTTTGGCTCTCTCTCTTTACATAGACATGGCTTCCAATTAATTGTTTAATTAACTGGAAAGAGCGATTACAGACGAAAAGAACACCATACATTACTACTATATTTGATGATTTATTTATTTATCCTACTTTTCTGCAGCTGTTACAACTGTGGAGGTCTGGATCACCATGCCAAGGAGTGCAACCTGCCCCCACAGCCAAAGAAATGCCACTACTGCCAGAGCATCACGCACATGGTGGCTCAGTGTCCACATAAGGCGCTGGCGCCCCCTACAGGCTCTCAGGAACAACAAGCGTCTACCTCGGCGCTCAGCCCAGGGACAGGGCCCCACCATTTGGAGGAGGAAGAGCGCTCCGGCTCGCCTCCTATCGAGGGCGCCTCCTCCTCCCCCGAGGAGCCGCACACACACCGTGGCCCCCGGACCCAGAGGAGGAGGAAATCCTGAAAACAGCCCTTCATCCCAGCGTCTCTCCTCAATCAAGGATATACCTGAAGCCCCCTCCCTCCTTCATCTACCTCGCACCTGTGAAACAAAAATGGAGGTCTTATTTTCTTGACTTTTATTTTATTTTTTTTTTACTCATGTTTTTCTAACCAGCGCAGCTATGGCAACGATCAATGGGGTACGGACATGTGCATGTGACTGACTGACTGACTGACCGACCAACCGACTGACTCACTGACCAACCGACTGACTGACTGACTGACAGCTGAAGACAACCACCACTGGACTGGTGACTGCAGGGAATGACTGTGACTTGTTTCTCGTAAAGATTCATTTAATTACACACACGCACACACACACACACCTCTGTCTTGAGGTAAACCTGGGTCTCTCTTGGCTCGTCCTCGTATCATTTGGTCACCGGTGGACATTTGTCTGGTTTACACAGTGTGTTTGATTCCTGGTGTAATCATCTTCACAGCTGCTCCACTCCAATACCTCAACATTTTCCTTGTCCTCTCAGAACCGTGGAAGTGCAGGACGGTGTTAATCTCCCGTCTGTGCTTACCTTTGCTACGGAGGCCTGGTGATGCTCTGTAGACTGAGACGGCACCATGGTCACGACTGCTGCTGCCGCCGCTGCTTCAGCCTGACAGAGATATATACTTAGTTAACCAACGGTGTGTTAAAGAGGTGGAGGTAAAGATGGTGTGTGTGCTGCTTTCAGGTCAACTTGAATCCAAGTGTGGCTTTAGTGGCACTTACTTGTGACCTGACAACTCTTCTCTGACCATATTGAATGTGAAAAGAGCGCGATCTGAAGTCGACTCCTCACACGCGTTTACGTCGGGTCGCTTTGTTCTGACAAATCAAAAGATCTTTGAGGGATGATATCAAACGTATGTGTGTGGGGTTTTTTTATGTTTTGTTTTGTTTTTTTCTACAAGAAAAGCTCTACGTAGACAACGAATGTCTTTGGTATAAACAGTATCTAGACCCAGGAGTTTAGCTTCATTTTGAAGGCATTTAATGTTGAGATGTGGTTTCTGTTGTTGATATTTTGCAAATCACATTTCCAGAGGAGTTGGTCCACCGTGTGATACGACATAAAACATGTCATTCTAAGTTAAAATTTAAATCTGAGTATTTCTCACACTTTTATTTTGACAGTTCTTTTTGTGTCTATAATTTTCTTTTTCATATCTGCAGACTGAAGTCTGGCATTATCATCAAGAATCCATTCTTTGACTCCTTTTTTTCCGTAAATTACATACATTACGTACATTATAAAAAACAAAAAACAAAATGAAGTTTTCTGAATTTTCAGTTATCCTACCAGCTCTCCTGGAAATTGGTTTGTAGAATTACAACAACTGAACTGAGTCTTTCTATTATTTTATTGTACAGCAGTCTGAATGTGTCTCTGCGTTCGTGCGTGCGCGACTGAATGACAGAAAAACAAAAAAAGAATGACCAAACCACAGACGAAGCACAGGCCATGCTCCAACCTCAAAGGGGGGAAAAGCAACATCTTTTTTGTATGATGTATTTTTGAAACATTTTTACTCACAATTCCTCTCAGGATGATGCACTGTTCTCAGGGAATTAACCAAAAATATATTACGTTCTTTTGGTAATCATCCACTGACTGATCCAACAACTCTGTTAAACAAGGACAAACAGACAGAAGCAGTTCATTTACTGATGTTAGCAACTACCTCTTGAGTTATAAACATAGTTGTACGTTCCTTTTTTTTCTGTGTTATTTTTGGTTAACAGTAGGTTGATGTTGTACTGAGGTGTTGTGTGAGAAGTTCCCTAGTGTTGCCACAGACTCCCTGGCCTTCCTTCCTTTCCAGATTTGAATAAGTTCCTTTAATTTCTGTTTACTACAAACTGTGTTTTTTTTTTTTTTTTTTGTTTACAGCAAAAAGCCTACCTCATATGCGCTGTTCCTCCACAATCTCCTTACCTCCTTCCAGCCCTCTCTACCTCCTCCATGCAGTTCTTTTTTTTATTTTAATTTTTTTAATTTAAATGTTCCACTCGTCGCACTAGAGTCACAAGGCCTTATTTGACGAATCAGCCTGGAAGTGGCGCATTACTTGTGACTCCAAATATCTTACAATCAAAGTCCTTTTTTTTGAAGGCGTTCCTTTCAGAAGGGGGCGTGTTTGCCTCACACTTCCAGGGTGACGTTATTTCTGCCAGCGTTGTTGTTCACGGTGTAATCTCCTCAAAAAGCTGCAGACAGCCAGTGATTTTACCTCAGCTTTGTTAATGCTCAATATAGAGACGTGTAAGAGAAGAAATATTGTGCATTTCCGTGTGAACGCTTTTTGTTATACGAGAGAAACATTGACTGTTGTTTCAAGTTTGTAATTTTTTTTTTTATCATAACCGTTTTAATCAGTCTGAAGAAAAAGGCTTGTACTTCACACAGGGAGTGCCTATCTTTGTTTTATTTGTTACCAAATATTACCAAATATATATTTCATTATATCCAGCCCAGTGGTATTGATTTCTGAAAGTGTTTATCTTTTGTTTTCTATTACAGGCCTGTGGTTTCCATGACACATTTTAAGCTGAGATTTTTCAACTCATAATACTGCAGGTCATGGTCACGTACTATTATTGGAGTACTACATAGAAAAATACATTTGAAAATAGACCCTACTGTATTTAGAATGTAAAAAAAAATTTTAATTTCCTCATCATACTCAGAATACTGTTACATATACTTTGCATCATGGACACAATTGTCCAATCAAGTGGTGTTCATACACCAGTGACCATATCAGACACCACTCAGTGTGTAAATCAGTAACTGTGGAGAAGAAAATGAATGTTTGCACAGCTGCTGGTTCATTAGTACGAAGTGATATTTTGAGCAAAAAAAAACAAACAAACTATAGTCTGAAGATGGGATATTTTGAGCAAAACAAACAAACTATAGTCTGAAGATGGGCTCAGAAACAAACCCAAAACCTTTCATTAAACCATTCTACTCAGAATCCAGGTCGACAGCAGGTTGTAAGTTCTCATCTCATGTGTGAAGAACTTGGACACGTTCATACAAATCGTAGTCCTCGTTCAGTTTTTTCCCCTCCAACAGCTCTAAGGGACGTTGAACCGAGCTGTTGGTTGAAGAGTTCTCCTTTAGAACAGGCTTCGTGAATGTGTAGATTTTTGTACTAATGGAGACGTTGCTTAGGCCTTAAGATTGTAGAGTATAAGAGGAATGTACCTGGTCTTCAGTGACGGCCCCAAGTGTCTGAACAGTCCCTTCAAAAGTCAGTCCAGGTAAGATAGACGCTCCGTCTAACATGTCCTTGATAATTAGTTGGTTAGACTAATCAGTGGAGTATAAGGAATGTTATGTCTGTATTAACAGAAGACTAAATTGACTCCACATTCTATTGCAATTAACCTGGAAACTCACTACAAAAATATCCTGAGGTTTTTTTTTTTTTTTACCAAGCTAAGATTAGTTTTAATTTCCCCAAAAACTCAACCTTTTACATTGAATCCCTTCCAAAGTCACTTTTCCATAAATAATCTTAACATTGACATCGACCTAAAAAAGATCGTAAGAATTAACATTATTAAACCTAACAAACTAACTCCTGAGACAATTGGTTGATTTCCACAGAGTCACAACTGAGGGAATACGTGACGTTTAAATATGGACCTTTATTGAAATATTTCAGTTATGAACAAATAACAATAAACATCGAAACATAGTAACATTATTGTTTTAGTAACTTTATATTTTATTCCACATAATATATATACACACACAACGACCACCTCCAACATTGTCTGTACATTGCTACTTTGTACAACATTGCTAGTAATCTGTAGGTCTTTTATAATATCTGGAAATGACCGGCGAAGCTTCCCAGTCATGTGTTTTTCGCAAAAGTATTTTTCTGAACTTGGGTGACAAACTTGTTGTGTTTTTTTGTGAGGGAAAATGAAAAGCAACAGAATATATACACTCATATATCACTCAAAAAAAAAAAAGTAAAATCCATGTATATGAGCAATATACAGAAACCCCAAAAACCCTTACTTGCTTATGAAGGTCTTTGGAGAAAGGATGTATTATTCCACCAGTTCACTGCTCACCCTAGTGGTTTATTTTTATTTAGCAGATGAACTGAAATTCACTTACCTCAACTATGCTGCCTCTGTCAGCTGCTCTGGGCTTTGCCCTGACTGGATCAAAGTTTCTGATGATTGTGTTTGTTTGTTTGTTTGTTTGTTTTTTAAACTGAATTGTATTATTGTGCTGATGTACAATATGTTATACTGATCTTTGGACCTCCATATGGCCATTCAATCCAAGCAGGGCATGTGAAAGTGCAGAAATATTACCTCTTTATGCTCTTTATGGAGTTTTTGTGTGTCTTTTGCTTTCTGTACTATGGTCAGAGGAAGTCAGTGTTCTTTTCTGAGCTCCTTTTTTTTCTGAAGTACATCTAGAGCTAAGCACTGATTGCTCTTGGATGGGGAATATATTGTCACATGTGCATATAAGTCATTATTTTAGGCACCTCCATAAGTGTACTGCCTTTCTAAATCTCTGTGAATCTTGGATTGGATTTCAAAAATATGTCTTAAATGTTTTACTTGATTGAAAAAAAATTGAGCATATTTTATTGGCATTAAAGTATGTATTTCTTACTAGACATGTGTGGAAGTTATTATTTTTACTGTAATGAGAATTAATTGCAAACAGTTGAGCTTAAAAGATAGGCCCATGAATTTTACTTTGTCAAAAGAGGTCAATTATGAATACAATTATGACACAAAAAGTAAATGATACTATGGGGTCCTAAGAAAAAGAAAAACTCTAATGAGGGATTTGGTTTTTCTAAATATGAAATATTTTCTAAATAGGAAATATATATTTGTATATTGGGTTGTCAAACATTGGAAAACAATATGTCTAACTATACTATAATATGACAAAATGCAAAATGCAAAAAAATAAAAAACTCAAAAGGAGGAAAAAGGAGTAAATTGCATGAAAATTAAAAATCTCTACACAGTGGATGGATGTGATTGAAGATCTAAAATGTTATTTAAAAACATATCAAATGTTTTCTATTTATTTCTGTTTTTTATTTATTTGTGCACTCAGATCTACAAATTCCTTCACATTAATAAAATGTACGTAATTTTTATTTCTCCCTGGTTTGCGCATGCCTAGCAAGAGCTTTTAAATTATACCGGAAAGGCCCGCTCTTGTTTTTCAAACAAACATTTGGTCGTCGTCGAGTGTGTGTGAATGTTACGAGGGTAAAGATAACCTCACACAAACAAACGTTGTACGGTTATTTCTCTCTTCTTGCTCTTAATTTCATTTGTTCAAATGTACTTTTCGTTCGGCTTAAATGTCATTTCTTCTGAGTTGACTGTTCTGATAGCACAACATCATTGTCTATTTTATTTCTTTTCGCACACATCTACAAGTTCTTTCTGCATTAATGGTAAAATCTATACTACGGGACCTTTAAATTGACGTCATTTCCTCTCAGTAGTTTGCCCATGCGTAACAAGAGACGACATTTAAATTAAACCGGAAATATTGCTCTCGTTTATCAAGACAAGCTTAAAGCTCAACGTTCTCCATGGCATATGGATAGAATTGAGGAATATTGCAGCACGCGACTGCCATCTTCTGGACGTATTGTGGAATTACACACGGGGTTACCCCAAAGACCTTCAATTATTTCCAATGATTGGCAACTGAATTTTTAAAAAGGTGTGTTTACACATAAAAAAATACTTTAGTTTACTGTAGTGTCTTCCCATTTTTCCAGTGACTGAAAATGACGTTTTAGACTGTAATGACGCCACCGTCAGTCAGGCTGAGTTCTGCTGATCATCAACTTTCAGCAGTAGAGACAAAAATAGCAACACATCACGAAGTTTCGTGTCTACGTCACAGCGGGTGAACGTCTTTGCTGTGAAATGGGCAGAACCGTGAAGTCTGGACAGAAAACGTACGTCACACACACCCACACACACACACTTCAGTCTGCATGTTGTCACATCCTGGATACCCTAAGAAGAACCAGGTAAGAAGCTATTTGCATATTTATTTAGTGTGTTATTTTAATTGCATTACCACATTGATATTTAAAATATACATATATATTTTTTTTTTAAATATATATATATATATATATATTATAAATCATTCTGCTTTAAAATTTGATTAATTTGATTAAAGTTTTTTGTTTATTTATGACTTATCACTGACTTTATTTATAATAATGTTAATGCATGATGAATGAATGGAGTACAGCTGTACTGTAAATTGTATTAAAGTCCACAGTCATACTGTCTGCTCCTTTACAACAAACCAGTGAAACAATTTATTTCTATAACATCATTGGTTCCCTGACATCTAACCTGAGATGGAAACTGTTTATCTTTCCCCGGGGTATTAACTCATCAGAGAGGAGAGAGTCCTCCTTCAGTGCTGACCTCCCCAAAGACAAGTTGTGTCCAGCTGATAAGAGACCACTGGTGGAGAGCTCACCATTTCCACTTCTTATCTTTGAAGACATTTAAAGGGTAAGACCACGTGCTGGCTCTTTAACTTCACCCCACAGCATGTGGGATCTGTCCTGGCCTTACTATGACTAAAGACAGTTGTTATGAATTAGTTAATAAATAAATAAAACATATAATATTAGGTCAAACCTTAGACAAAAAAGTTATACCATTAAATATATGATTAACATTTATTAAACACAACAAGATACAAGAATATAATGTAAATGATGATGTTTACACCATTTAGTTTAGTAATTAAAAATAGCCAATAACTAGCAATGACAGAGAAGTTTTAGTGGACAATCTAAAACAAATAATTAAAAATAGCCAATAACTAGCATTGACAGAGAAGTTTTAGTGGACAATCTAAAACTGAGCCAAATAAAGGGTGATATATAGGGTGATATATAAACTATATATCACTGGGGGAAGTCCTTGGTAAAATAGTATGTTTCTTAACTCTATCTTGATGACAAAATATTTTAAATTCACAAAAAAAAATTACGGGCCCACAAAATCTGTGTAGGTGCCACAACTGGCCCCTGAGCCAGACATTGGCTGACCATTATACTATACTTACCATTTGTGTGAGCTAATGGGGTACAATACTATAAAATTAAGAAGAAAGAAATGTAGGAGTGTGTGTGTTTGTGAGTGAGGACCACCCACAGAGAACTATGTGAGGAGCTGTTTGTATCTGTCTGATCACACGGCAGTGACGCTGCAGAACTGAAGGAGTGTATAATCTGATGTACAGCCCGTCAGTCAGCTTGAACTGCAGCACTGCGTCAATCTTTGCTGAAGTCCAGCAGTTATTTTTGTTTTTCTTAAAAGGTGAAAACTGACTCAAATATCTGGAGGCCGGATGATGGAGAAAGACAAAGAGTCAGACACGGAGTCTGACCTCCAACTCCCAGACAACTCCAAAAAGGTCACCCTGGACACCTCTGGCATCGAGGAGACCAGCGACCGTCTGGAGCAGCTGATGAAGAGCATGGAGTTGCTGCTGTCCGACGTGGAGGAGCTGAGGAGCAACTGCAGCCAGCAGACCTCCGATCTGCTGCAGGCGGCCGTGGAGCTGAGGCAGCAGCAGGACGAGCTGAAGGACGGCTACCTGGAGCTGTCCAGAGAAATCCAGGAAATGGTGGACACGGTGGACAACCTGCTGGGCACCAAGAGTGCCTTTGAAGACATGGAGAAGCAAACGGAGAAACTGGACCAGCAGCTGTGAAGGCCGCGAGAGTGACTGATGAACTTTTGTCTTGTTTTTCATTGTGGAGAGAGAGAGGAGTGTGGGGGCGGTTTTGGACTGGAGTGTGAGCTGGGAACGTTTGGAAGTGATGGAGTCACAGAGCAGTGTGTTATTCCAAGGTTTTTTTTTAAGTCAAGGTCTTGAATGGATAAATATATACTAGTGTGCATAATTTTATTTAAATTTATATCTAACGCTGAGGGACCATGTGTCGTTTAAAAATCCAGTCTTCAGGAAGAGTTCTGCAGTCTTTGAGAAGGAGAAGAAAAACTAACATCTATTCCTTTTATTTTTTCTTTTCTTTCTTTCTTTTCTTTTCTTTTCTTTTTTTTTCTTTACTTTTCTTTTTGTAATTATTGAACACATTTTCATGACTTTATGATAGTATTCATTGCTTTAATTATCACTTTAAGTTGTAATTCCATAGAGCCCCATAATGCCCCAGGGTAAAAAAGTAGAACACAGTTTTCCAAACCCTCTTAGCCAAGAAAGGTCACTAATAATTAAACATTATCAATTAGTTAAATTAAAAAGTGCAAATGTACAAGAGACAAGAGAGCGAAAACACAGCAGAAAACCAAAAAAAATCAGCAAAAATATCCGACGAACAGAGAGAAAGGACAAAATTATTCAAACAGGCAAATTTCTTAATGATTTGGAGAGAAGAAAATACAATACTGTTATTAATAAAACGTCTTAGTATGTTTCACTCAAATAATTCCCTTTCTGTGTAAAAAGTAAAACCGACGCACGCCAGTTTTATGAACCTGTGGAAGTTGTAATTTTACGGACAGCACTTGACAACTTCATTCCATGCCAATGTCTGAGTTTTCATTTTAAAGCCCCTAATTAAGACACAATAATAAAAGTTCAGCGTAATCACTTTAGCTGAAGGTGTAATTTGTTTTAGGGCTTCCACACTGGATTATCACTGGCTGCGGCGTCTTTTTGTGCAGCTGATGACAGAGTTTGTACCTGTGTCAAGCAATAATTATATCAATCATGTCATCAAAATTTCCTGCACACACATTTTCTTATATCTGTACTCACGAAACGTAAAAAAAAAAAACGAAAAGTATGAATGTAGTTTAATTGCCCTGCAGGCCTCCACAGCCTGAGATTCTGGCAGAGGAACGCCCCGCTCTTCTGATTCCTGGTGGTACATCTTCCCTTCTTATTCCCTTTCCATGTGGTTTCTTACTAAAATAAATCTAAATACAGCCTTAGTCGATGTTTACCCTGCAGCGGCACCTCGCTTTGACCGGCCGCTCGGTACTTAGTGGTTGTGAGATGTGCAAAAGAGACAATTTATGGTCAGCGATGGGAATCTTTTATCTACGTCCCTGAAGTCTTTTGAAAATCTTTGGGATCATTAAAACAAACAAAATCGATCATCAATCACGTGTCTAATCCTGCCTTCATTGCTTTAAACTTCAGTGCCCTGTGCATTGATTAATATTTTTTTTCAAGTTCAACAGGCACAGAATTAATGACAGATACTTCTAAAATGGTCTGGAAAAACTTCAAAAAGTCCAAAATACTCGCGGCCTAAATGAGAGTCTTGGGATGTAGATGAGAAAAAAAGGTGTTCCTCTTGGAGCTTCGGTTGAAACCTGACACTTGATGGGACGCAGTGCTTTTGAGCAGATAAAATGCTGGGTGTCTTTGCCAACCTTCGCTACTAAGGTGCAGGTCCCTCTGGAGTGTTGGCCGAGCAGCCGAGGCTTCACTTCAAGGAGGTAAGTTTTGATGAGATTCTTTAAGAAGAGTTATTTTCTTGAATCATGATATTTTTTATTTTTTTTATTTTGAATTTCTTAGACAATATCAGAGTGAGTCGATATCTGGCCAAATTCATCGAGCTACATGAAGGGTCAAAAATAATTTTTAGCCTTGTAGATCAATTTAAAAATCCCCAAGTTAATCAAGAGTTAATCAAGACTTTATGATTATTTGTGATTAATCAGTAGATGTCTGTATTTCACACCTGTTTTATTTGTGACTCCAAATGATTGAATTAATAATGTGGAAAAATGTAAAAAAGAATGTAAACATTTATGTCAAGATTTTGCTCAGGAAAAGTTGGGTGTTAATCTGATCTGATTGTTTTATCAAATAAAAAATAAATCAACACCACTGATGCATTCTTCTTAACGGCCAAATTAATTTGCAAACTAAATAAAATCACTGTTTTTATTAATATTGTTCATATGTTTATATGTGCAGTGTCAACATGAACAACCTGCTACTCCTGGGTCTCCTACAGCTGCTGGCTGTACCTGCCCTCTCTGTGAGTCTTCACTTTGATTCTGTGTGCCAATTTATAAATCAGTATCTCTCTATGCATACGTGCGTCCTATGTACACTTTGCTCTGGGTAAAAATAGCTGCAGATTCACACAGTCGTGCAACGTGTGAAGGGTTGGTTTGTGGCTTAAAGGTCTCGGCTTCTATTTTTGTGTCTCTCGTAATGTCTGTAATTGGTCCCCGGGCTGTGATGTGATGTTTCAGAGTGCAGTGTATGTCTGCTTACTTTTTTGTTTTGTTTGGTTGTAGCTGACTCTGCCGACCCAGGACTACTGGGGACCGTTTGGAGCCTATGGGCCCTGCAGTCGAACCTGTGGCACAGGTGTGGCCATGAGGACCAGGCAGTGCATCACTGCGAGGTAGAGGACCGGGGTTTAGTTTTCATGGGATTAAGTCTAGAAAAAAAAGAACTCCATTTATTTTTAGTCTTATTAGTAAATTATATATATATATGTGTGTGTGTCCAATGGAAGTCAATAAGGAAAATGTAGTTTTGGCCTAAAAACAAACAGCGCTCTTTTTCTCTTCTGCAGAACCGACGGTGGACATAACTGTGAAGGATCTTCCACAGCTTTCCGAATCTGTAACACACAGGTATTTAGTCTTTTAGAATGAATGTTTGTATCATGCGTATTTAATATAACTGTACAATTAATACGGTTGCTGATAAAGATGTTCCCTGTCAGGACTGTCCATATGGATCCAGGGACTTCAGGGAGGAGCAGTGTTCCCAGTTTGACAGATCAGACTTTCAGGGGAAACGTTACACATGGGTCCCTTACTATGGAGGTGATTGGACAATAACATCATCTCTATTTCCTACTTTTATCTTTTTTTTTAATTAGCTCAACTTAGTTTCAATTCTCACCATCAAGTTTAAATATTGGATATTAATATTACATATAATTTAGCATCCAATCCATGTGAGCTGAACTGCGTCCCAAGAGGAGAGAACTTCTACTATCGACACAACTCTGCAGTGGTGGATGGGACGCCGTGCTACGTTGGACGCACTGACGTCTGCGTGGAGGGCAAATGCAGGGTGAGAAGAAAGGAGTTTGTTTTCATTTCCATCTTTATCTTTGAGATGGTTACTGTAGGTATATTCAACCAGCAGAATAAAACCCACCTGTTTGTGTCCAGAACCTGAGCCATGACGAGTTCCTGGGCCTGGATGAAGACGTGAACTCTGTGCACTCCTCTGTGCCTGTGGCCCCTCACCCCAGTGAGACCAACTCGTACGTCTACAGGACCGGTGTCTTTGGTGAATGCTCAGCCAACTGCAGTGGTGGTATGCAGTACCGCAGCGTGGAGTGCGTGCTCCAGGATCCAGTCAACCCCCGTGTGGTGGAAGAGTCTTACTGCATCGCCCAACGCCTGCAGAGGCCTCAGAGTCAGCAGACCTGCAACATGCATCACTGTACAGCTGAGTACAGTGTCTCCAGCTACAGCGTGGTTAGTACCAGAGTGCAGAAAAAAATAAATGTCATGTTTTCACCTCGTTTTCTCAAGTTATTGACAGAATCTTCACTTTACATATAAGCTGTTTGTTGCATTATATTTCTGAGCTTCTCATTTTACTTCCTAAATAAATTTAGAATTTGAAATGAATTTATGTTAGAGAGGTAAACATGTCTGTTTTTGGTTAGTTTTAATGCTGATATTTAATACACTTGTATAGCTATGACACATCATGTTTTGACTAACTAACTAACTGACCACAACTACTAACTCCTAACCTTTTCTACCTGACTGTGGCCAGTGCTCCGTCACCTGTGGTGAAGGTGAGCAGACCAGGGATGTGATCTGTGTAGGTCCAGGAGGAGAACATCTGGATGACCAGGCCTGCAGCGAACTAGTCCGACCTCCTGCTGTCCGCTCATGTCGCAGACCTGCCTGTCAGTTACACATCACCTGGCATGTGACTGACTATGGATTAGTGAGTGAGAAAAAAAAAGCCTTTTACTTGTTTTTTTTTTATGTGTCTAACTCTCTGCCCTTGTATCTTCAGTGCAGTGAAAGCTGTGGTGGTGGAGTGAGGGAGAGGATGGTGGTCTGCTTTGATTTGGATTACAACACCTATCCTGAGGATCACTGTGGACTGGAGAGCAAACCCGCTGCTATGGAGGCATGCAACTACCAGCCATGTCCAGAAGAACAGAGTGAGAAGATCAAAACATTCATGATTCCAGTACTATTTACTGGAGTTTGGGTGAGGGAGTAACAAATGCGATTTGTCTCCAGTGGTCCCAAGTGTACAGGATCCAGGGTATCACGGAAGCACCATCAGAGGGTATGTGCCCCACGTTCCAGAAGTTCCTTCAGGTATGTAGACCACAAAGACAGTAGAGTGTCAAGTCATTGATCTTTGGTTGTATTTAAAGATTTAGCATAAGCATTGATTGGCATTGTGTCCAAATCTTATGAATGTGCAGTAAGTAAGTTAATATCTCCTTATATGGTTTGGTCATGTAGCCATTATTACACCCCCCTTATATTAGTATTTATGTAACTGTATCTGTGACTGTGGTTACAGTTTCTGGGCCAGAGACCAGCTCTGCCTATGATCACTACCCTCCTGTGATTGGACCTTATTGTGCCCAATCCTATTATGGCTGCTGTCCTGATGGTCATACCTCTGCAACCGGACACAACAACGAGGGCTGCTCTGAAGATGACTGTGTCCAAACCAGGTACTGCATAAAGGTCCCTGTCAATGTAACCAAACCTTGACTAAATGAATTTGAAGAATTGTTAATCGGATGGTGGCTTAAATAATTATATCTTCTGAAGGTATGGTTGTTGTTTGGATGGTGTGACTCCAGCTCAAGGATTTGTCAGAGCAGGATGCCCTGAGACAGAGACGGCCGTGGTAGGAGCATTTCACTTGTTTTAAATAGAATCATATGAATTAAATAAGGCTAAAACAAAAGCTGGGTTTTATACAGAACAATGTATAATGTATAATAAGAAATACATAAGCACAAAAGGATCATAAATTGAACATGTTTTTTTATTTAAAGAAATTATGAAAATAAACTCTATTACGTTTGGTACAAATGACTAAGAATAAAGACATTTTGTCTTAGAAATGTAGATGTTATATTGTCTATTCCTTTTTCATTTCTCAGGAAGAGCCACAGCCCCCTGCATCACTTGAAATGTAGATCTTATATTGTCTATTCTTTTTTTTATTTCTCAGGAAGAGCCACAGCCCCCTGTCACCTCATCTGATGATGGTGTATGCACCCTGCCACATGATGAGGGGCCCTGTGAGGACTGGACTCTCCGATTCTATTACGACTCGGGAACTAGCAAATGTACTGAGTTCTGGTATGGAAGCTGCTGGGGTAATGCCAATAATTTTGCATCCGTGGCTGCATGTCAGGAAAGGTGTAGCCATTTGGTGAGGGAACAAGCGCCACCAGCACCACCAGCACCACCAGCCCAACCTCTAAGATCATGGCCGAGGAGAGTAGCAGGTGTTCTAAGAACGTAGGCATAACCACCAAGAACACCTCCGAGAACACACGTCTCTTCTCTTTATGATGCCAATAAAACGTTTACATGGTCAGGTTTGTTTAAGTTATATTGATGTCTGAAGTTACAGTTGTCATAGCCCTGGCTCGGGGTCGTCACACAGTGTAATTTCATAAACCAGTGCAGGATTATATTGATGTCTGAAGTTACAGTGTAATTTCATAAACCAGTGCAGGTCATCTGATTGTTATGGAGGAATTCATGCAAAGGCTATGGAGGCTCTGTCCACTTTGTACCTGCCATTAGACAACCCATGACGCTGTATTACAAAGGTTCATCCATCTCAATTAAACATCATAATTAAAAAAAAGGTAGAATCAAGTTCTTACTAATGTAGTATTTTTCTTTTTTTTTAAATAAATTTAGATATACATAAATTTCACCTTTTGTAATTGAAATTTAATTAACCATGTGTATAACTTCATTAGTTGTGGTCTATACTAACATTAATAAACAAAGTTAACAATTCAGCCTCATAAATAAAGTTTTTGACATTTTGTGGCTTTAAAAGAAATATTGTTTATTTGTCTGTTTTTGCACATTTGCAATGTTTGCGTTTATGTTCAGACTCTTATTCTGAAGCCATGCCTTTATTTTGAAGCAACTTCAATCATTTTTAACAGGAAATGGATGTATTTCATTTCCTTTGTGATTTTCGCTTAGCTTGTTCGTGCGGTGAATTGAAGGAAAACAATCAACAGTTTACGTGTTATTTAACTTCACTGCGTATAAAGAGTTAGTCGGTACTGAAATGGTAAGTGTGGTTATTCAAAGTTATGAATGAATGTTAAACAAATATGACATTTTTCTGCATAAACGTGAAATTTCGATAGCTAAGCTTAGGCTAACGCTTTGCTAACACTGTCGTTCGCTTGTCGCAATAGTGAATTTTAATAACAATTAACAGAGTTCTGTCGGTTGCATGGACATAAATGTAGGATGTGGCAGCTTTACAGTAACAGTTAAGTAAGTTTCTCAATATTTATAGTCGAACACTTCATCTTACAGCGTTGTAGTTTGAAGTTTGTTTTATTATGACTTTATTATTTTACTTAAAGAGTCATCTTATTTTTTTACTTTTACAGTCGCACACAATTTTGCTCGTTCAACCCACCAAGAGACCCGAGGGCCGCACGTATGCTGACTATGAGTCAGTGAACGAATGTATGGAAGGTACGTCTGTAGCTTTAATGGTATCTTTAATGATGTCATATACCTTGTGTATTATTAAATTTAGGCGGATAAAGATGAACATTAAAGTAAATACAATTTTCATTTTCTTCATATGGCTCATCAAGTTGGTAAGGATTTGTGGTTTGTTAGTTTTACTCAGGGATATCAGCAGCAGCTAGAAGTCATCATAAACTCCAATACAATAAATGTCTACTACAATTTTAACTCGTATATTTTCTTTAATATTTATCTAATCTTTTCCAGGTGTTTGCAAAATGTATGAAGAACATCTAAAGAGGATGAATCCAAACAGTCCGTCCATCACATACGACATTAGCCAGTTGTTTGACTTCATTGATGACTTGGCTGACCTCAGCTGTCTTGTGTAAGTCTGGTTTTGTTCAGTTAAAATCCTTGCTGCACCGGATGTTGTGTATGGTCTAAAACTATTGTTTTAATTGTGAAACAGGTACAGAGCAGACACTCAGACATACCAACCATACAATAAGGACTGGATCAAAGAGAAGATCTACGTTTTACTGCGACGTCAGGCTCAGCAGGCAGCTAAGTAAAGGGATCAGTGACAGGCTCACCTGGATGGAGGTTACACTGCACTACATTTCCACAGTATCTTGCAGATCTGTGTGTATGGACATTGTGATAAGGGTTGGATTTTCATGTTAAACCATCAGCCGATAATAGATGTTTTTTTTTCTTCAAAAAGTAATGTGAGATATTTTGGTCTTTACATTGGAGAGGAGTGATATATGACCATGTACTGATGTTTGTATATCAAAGGGAATTGGGATGCCAGGGGCTGCAAAAAGAAATGGGAGATCTGATTTTAACAATCAGGTCTTGTAGGGTTGCATAAGAATTTAAGGGAAGGGATTTTACACAAAAAAATACATGAACAAACCACCACATATTATTGAAAAAGAAACATAACAATAAAACCCAATTAAATGAGCAATTGTAAAATATTGCTCATACATTACTTTACAATGAAGACACTTTAAATAATAAAAAAGTAGTTGTGGCATCACCCAAAGCTGGTTGCAAGAATTTAATTTATTGATGGAGCGAGTCCATGGAGTGAAGAGCTCCACATACAGTCCATTTGATAGAGTTGAAGGCTAGTAATGTGCTTTTATTTGTCATATTTGTTCAGGATTTTTTGTTTTGTTTGGCTAGTTACACTGTAACCTACTCTGCTTTCTATAATGCATCAGATTTCATTTTGTATTGTTGTGTGAATGCATACTGTTTGCCACTGATGGTTTTCGTTGTGTATTAGGCATGGTTCCATTTCAAAGTGTCTGGGTCTTTTATAGCACCAGGATCCATTTATTGAAATTAAAGGTTCTTGTTTAAAATTGGTGTCTGTGATTTTTAACTGTACATGGTTTTATTTCA